CTTGACAGAAAGGTTTTGATAAATCTACGGCATAGCACGTACATTATTCTGTCCGATGGTCAACTTATTATTTCTGCTGGAAATCGTCACTGCATTCATTTCTACTTTTAAAGAAGCGTAAAATTAGAAATAGGTTGTTGGCCTATAATTTTCTGGTGTTATTAATAGACAAAGCATTAAAAGGCGAAATGCAAGACTCTTAACAATGAATATCCATCGCTTAGATATTTTTTCACGTAGCACGAACCTGTTGTTCTCTAAACTTGATTATGGAAAGCGCTATGATCGTAACTCATTCGCTTTTCTTTTACATTATAAATGCCAGAAATCCGTCACATTGAAAGCAATTTCCAATAATATTATTTAACCTTTAACCATCTCTGCTTTGCCAATTTCCCTGAGATTAGTGTAAATCGTTGTCCACTTTTTAGTTTACCGGAAGATCCTTATCATCCAGCAATGTGTATTACCTTTCATCATAAGAATGATGGCTCGTTGAACTGCCTTCATGTACCAAATCAAACTTTTTTTAAATAAATATTATGATTTTGAAATGGATAAGCTCTTATCTGCACAATAGATCCTTCAGGGTTCTGTTTAACTTTATCAGCTCGGATGAATTGCCTGTGACGTCTGGCGTGCCTTAGGACCCATTTTATTTAATTTGTACATTAATGATCTCCCATCGGTGATTAATTCCAGTCAGATCTTAATGTGCGCTGATGATGTGAAACTGTTTTCTTCCTTCTCTCTAGAATCGCAATCACATCACCTTCAAAGCGACTTGAATAATTTGGTTGGAAGGTGTTCTTTGAATCTTCTGAATTCAAATAAATGTAAGAAGCTTTCTTTCTCAAGAAGAAAGTCATTCATTACTCAGCATTTCATTGATTCGCATAATTTGGAGGACGTCGATACGTTCACAGATTTAGGCGTTCTGTTTGCCCATAGATTACGTTTTAACTTGCACACTGAGCTCCCGTTAAGCGTCTTGGTTTTATAAAGAGGTGATCCAAAGAGCTTGATGATCCTTACATTACGAAAAGGCTGTACATGTGTTTGGTTAGACCTATACTTGACTATGCCTCTGTTGTGTGGTCTCCTTCATATAGGTGCTATATAGATTCAATTGAATCTCTTCAAAAGCAATTCTTGCTGTTTGCCTTTAGGAATTTGGGCTGGGATCCGATTGCTTCTCTTGCCCCCTGTGACAATACGTTGCTTCTGTTGTCCTTACCGTCTCTCGAAACACGTAGATTTATTCTTGGCGTTTCCTTCGTAATCAAAGTAATAAATGGTGCTATTGACTCGCCTGCATTACTTGGTGAAATAAGCTTTAATATCCCCAACCACTTCTCTAGGCACTTTATCTTGGTTAAGCTTAGTCAATGTAAATATAATTATGAACTGTTTAACCCGCTCAGAGTTGTTTGCAAAAACCTAAATGATGTCTATCACTTATTCTCATTATCGGACTCTTTAAAGTCCATTAAAGCAACATTGCTTAATACGCGCGATTAACCTGTGTCGTACTTAAACTAACTTTTAACCTTAAAAAGTCACTATGAGTCGAAAATTAGTTGTTACTAAGTATTATCGGTTGCCAAGGTTGTGTACATGCTTTTTTTTCTTTTTTTCCTTCTTGTTTGTTTTATTGTACTTATACTAAGTTTTAATAATAATTAATTTAAGATTTACTTTAAGTGTCAATTGAACTCGACTGTCAAATTTTTAGTCGAGCTTCTGGTATAAGTGCAATAAATAAATAAATAAATAAATATGCTAACAGTTTCGATTTGTTAGTGCCTTCGTGTATACATCTAACAGTATGACCGCTAAAATTGTGAATAAAGTGGAACGCGTCTCCGAGAAAAAATGCAAGAACTTCGATTACGGGAACACTTTCCTCAACGGGTTGACCAAAACGCGTATCGATCAGAAGGTAAGCGCCTAATCTGGCACTCGATAAAACTAATACTTCAACACTCTGCCCTACAGCTCTTTGACTTTTCTTCGGATGTGGATGGGGAACTAATCCACGTACATGAACTTGCACTCGCGTTTGCCTCTGATTACTTCGCCGCGATGTTTGACGGTAAGTTATCCCTGGAAACTGCCAAATAGCACTTCAATAATATGTTTGAATATTTGCTTTGATAGCTAAAATGAAGGAGAGGAGGGAAGGGACTGTTAAGTTGCAGGATGTGGACGTAGTTGCTGTCAGGGCAATGTTTGACTATATCTACAGCGGGACCATCACGCTTACAGAAGGTAACATCGAAGCGATATTGTCTGCTTCGGACTTATTTCAGATCGCATGGATGAAAGGGGAATGTATCCAATTTCTTGAAAGCAACTTAAACCGAAACAATTGTTTTCGAGGGCGAAAATTAGCTGGTAAGAGTATGACGGAATTCTCGCAAATTTGGCTCAAGTAAAAGATTTTATTTTCTTTCAGATACGCATTCCAAAAGGTTGCACGAGCTTAGCCACAAAAATATATTTTGGAACATTTCGATGACCTAATTGACAAGAAGGATCTACTATTGATGTCATTTGACGATTTTAATAATCTA